CGATTGGATCGACAATTACGTACGAAGCATGAAAATCGTAAATTAGAAATAATAATAATAACATTAATAACTAATGTTATTATTTTTATTATCTTCATCCTAATAATAACCATCCTCATCTGCACGTTACCCCAGCAACAACAAAAAGGATGGACATAAAAAAAAAAAAAAAATAAACCCAAACACCATTACACTCTTACGCTCCCATCTAATTAAACGCCGCCAAATTAATCTCCATTTCCTAACGTACCAATCTCTCTCCCCTCTCCTCTATAATTAACAAAAACGTTGGCGGTGGAAAAGGAATTCACCCGACCCCATATCTATCGTCCTCTCTGCCCTAGCAAAACAAAAGCTGCAATAATCGACCAATAGCGACCCATCCATCTACCTTGGCAACCATGTCTTTTTTAATCTGTAGCAGTAGCAGCAAGAAGCCTAGAGACAGCATCAAGAGAGCTGCCTCCATCGACGACAGCGTGTCCTCTGGCGTTTTAGAGATAAGGTCCCCGATCTCCCCTGTCCCAAGTTCGAACCTTAAACTCCGTTTAACCCAACGAACGCACACGATTATCGTAGCTCCGACGGCAGCCTCGGCGTAGTCGATCTCAACAAAGCTTCGAAACCTTGGTACCATCGTGTGGAGGGGGATTTCCGGAACATCCCGGTTTTGACGGAATTGAATTTCAACGTCGGACGAGGAAGATACGAGCCTCAAAAGCTCGGGGCGTGAACCAGATAGTTCAGGTACTAATCTGTCTATTCGAAAAGCATAAGGATTGTGGCAGTAATTTTTTTCCTAGAAAATGTCCAGTTTAGTCCCTCATATTTTGAAAGATAACAATGGGCCGAAAATAGTATTTTCTCATGGTTATTATTATTCGTCCACGTACTGTACGAACTTTTATGAGTTGTTAATTTTATAAACTAGGGGATATTCGTGGGATGTATGAATATAAATTTGAGAATTTTTGGAGTTTATTTATAAGTGTAAAAAAATAGGTAAAAAAGATGTTTTAACCAAATAGAATATTATTCAAGCGAGTATGTTTGATTTAATAATTTTAATAGAATTAAAATACCCATGAGTTTATCCATAATTTATTTGGGTGTTTTAGATTTAATTTTTGTAATTATGAAAATTGGTAAGATGTCAATTTTAATTGATTAAATTACGGTTTGCATATCTTTAATTAATTTTTTTTTTTTTTTGAAAAAACTAGAATACTGGTAGTTTGTTTTAAAGTTAAGATCGAGAATTTTAGATGTTGTTAATGTAGATATAAAATATATTTAGGTTGCAAGTCAATAGGAAGAAGGGGTTAATTACTATGTAAATTATAGTTAATAATTTTAGTTTATATTATGAATTATCCAAAGTCAGAATTTGGAGTTTTTAAGATGGAAAGGGTTTTTGGAAATTTAGGAGATTTATTTAATGGATTTTTATGTTATTGGTAATAGGTTAAGTCTTGTGAATTTGGGGAAAGATTTTCAGTGTTTGAGAAAAATTATTTCAAGTGATTAAGGGTCTTTTTAAGGAATTTTGGGACTAAGCTGGGAGGACGGAAAACTCTAAGGAATGCCAACTAAGAGTAATTAATCTCAATTGATAGGATTAAGGAAGCGATCAAGATAACGATCTCCGCGTCCAACGAATTAAAGTATCGACACTTGAGAGGTGAGTGTAAAGGGGGTAAATTCTACGCCTTACGGTATTTCAGCTTTGAGGTTGACCGCTATGTGCTATATATGCCTTTGTGTGTTTGTTTGATGCATGTGATTGCGTGTGATTTATGATTCCAGTTATTCATATGATAATGTGTGTTATATTTATAAATAAGTTGAAGTTTAAGAACACGCTTTCTTTTCAGAAGAACTTCACCTTCAAGAAGGTGAAACCGTTTTAAGAGTTTTAGTCACTAGCGCCAGTCCGTTGCCATTTGAGATTTTGAGATAGAGCAGCAGTTATGCTCTTAAGACTTTTAATACGAGCAGCAGTTGTGCTCTTGAGATATTTTAAGATGAGCAGCAGTTATGCTCTTGAGAATCGTGGAAGAAGAGCCTTCCACGATAAGTTTAAGTTTCAGGAAAGCGTAGATGGCTTCTCATACGTATGAGTTGGCAACCGGACTAGCTAGTGAGGGATCCCAGTGTCAGTCAAATATTTAAGTTGAGATTTGAGCTTTAAGTATAAATTTTTAAAGAGTAGAAGTATTATCCACCAGTTTAAGCTAAGTTATCAAGTAAAAAATACTAGGGTTTTCAAACGTAAGGGCGTAGACTGACCCCAACTCACTCACCAAATCGTAGAGGAAATCCTAACCAGCCAGTTCGTGATCAGCAAGCTAGAGGAGCTCAACACCATCGTCGCTGAGAGATGTCGAGGCAGGCGTCAGAGTAAGCACCGAAGAACTTTTCAAGTTATTAAGACTTTATGGTAAGAGTTAAAGACTGGAGATTCATTTCTTATGGACGATTTAAGTTTTGCCCACGTGTTTAGGGCTTCGATTTGAGATATTAAGATGTTTGAGTTTGGTATTTTATTTTAAAGTTGTGCTATTTGAGATTCTTAATTATACCCCGGGGTAGAAATGTCTTTTTCCAAGTTCAAAGTAGTGGGATGTTTCAGAAAACATGTGTAATTAACGGTCTATCAGTAGAGAAAGCAAATATGAAGGATAGGTTGGTAAAAAATGGTGGACTTGAAAGTCCATGATCAATTTTCACCAAAAGAGATGGGTTATTCAAGTCCGTGGGGCCCACGGATTTGTTACCTCTAAAGACTTGAAGCAAACAATGGATTTTGTACAAAGTCCATCACCAAATCCATCACCAAATCCTTCAGCAAATCCATCAAGCAAACAACCCCTTATTGGGTAACTGTGTCCAATTGTCATGACTCATATTGGACCCAAATGAACTCATATGCCCTCTTAATAATTTTGGTTCAGGGTTGATTTTGAATTTTGGTTTATTTTGTTATTGTATTAGTTTGACTGATTTGGTTATGTATTGTATTTCATAATTAATAAAAAATAGATCAATTTGGTTTGATAATTACTATGATAACCATTTTAACGCTTCTATTTAAGGAGGAAAAGATGGAAAGGAATAGTCTGAGTTGATAATTTCTTGAATGTGGACTTATATAGTATAAGCGCAATCAAGTTGGATGGTAGGATTAGAAATTCAGATTAGGGATACCTGGATTCAAGATAAGAATATCGTAAGGGAAACATTGATGTTGTATTATATAAAGCCTCCTCTTGGCTAAATTAGCAAATGCACGATTGAGCCCTCTTCCATTAAACACAATGTTTTAAAACCGTATCTACTGTCTGGTTAGATTGAAATATCAGGTACCAGACCTCAATTTGTAAATGATTTTAATAGTATAAAGTGGTTGAACAACACTTTTAGTACAAATTACCCTACTAATGATTTGCGATACAACCTCCGATATAGTATCCAATTTTTGCTTAAACAGAGAGACAATATAACTTCACAACGCAAAATGGTAAATAATTTTTTTTTATAGATATGAGTGATATATTTTAAATTCATTATAAGGTGCGACTTGAGAAATTCGTAACGAAACCTTGAAGTTGGAGTCTTCTAATATAAAGAGTTATAAGGTTATACTCATATTATATAACATTCGTTGGGCACATATTATATAATATTCATATTGATGGTCTCGGCTTAGAAATTAGCAAATTAGGTACTTTAAAAAAAAGGTCAAATATGTACTCTTTTAGTTCCCCAGTTATTGTTTATCAGACTTATTAACCAGCCATGGAAAATAAGCAATCGGGTATTAGTTCCTCGTTCTGAATTAACCGGTCCTTTTAGTTTCTGGTCAAATATATATATATATATATATATATATATATATATATATATATATATATATATATATATATATATATATATATATATATATATATACCAAGAAACAAACATATGAGTCGTTAAGATAGGAGATAGACTACTCTCTTTTGCTATGGCTCTCGCCTTGGATACACAATTCTGCTAAAATCCTACATGGTATGATCTATGGACCGACAACAAACGAATGCATGTTAAGTAAGAAAAGCTAGGCATGATTATAGTTTCACATAACAATGCACCTATAATCGCCATGATTGGAGCAAGTCCTACATTTCAGTTTTCATAACCTAAAATTGCGTCAAGACTATCTAGCAGGATCAATTTCCCATCGAACTTCTAAAAATTAGGACACAACTGTATAGATCATCCTCCGGATTGAGAAAAAAATGTTCTAAGCACAATCTGAAAAAAATCCCTCCAGTAACATATCGTAGAGAAGCTCGACTGAACAATTTCACCCTTTTCTTTTACCATATGAACAACATACAACAAGGAAGACATCGGCTCTGGAGAGTTGTCAATTACTATTTTTAGGGTAAATACAATTAATAGTCAAACCTTTCATTTTAAACAAAATAATAACCGAACTTTTTCGAAAAAAATTTAATAGTCAAACCGTCAACTATCCGTCCAGTCAACTATTAGTTGATTTTGACGTGGCAATTTTTTGCTAAGTATGTCAATTGGTGATGTGCCAAATATTCAACCATTTGATTGTGCCACATGGATAGGAGGGGTTAATTGCATGGTTGGTCATTGAGATTACAAAAAACGTTCAAGTTTGGTCACTCGAAATATTTAAATCCATTGGTGGTACTTCAGTTTACCGAAATCGTTCACGTTTGGTCACTCTCCATCCAACTCCGTTAACTTTTGCTTATGTGGCGGTCAACTCTAAAAGTTGACTGTTAAATATGTGACATGCCAATTAAAAATAATAAATTAAATAAAATTAAAATTTTCAAAATTGACATCTCATTTCCACCTCATTGTCCCTTTTATTTAAAATAAATAAAAACCCTAATTCTACTAAACCCCAATATCAATACCCGCCGGCAGCGTACCCCGCCGTCGCTACCGCTTCCATTTGTTGGGCTGTGGAGCTGATGGGTTACTCCACCGACGGCGGATTCGCGGCCAAGCTACAGGAGGTGAGGGGGATCGAGAGCGTGGAGGAGGTAATCAAGCTGCTCAACTAGCAGCAGTTCTACCAGGAGGAGGCTTCCGCTTCCGGCTCCTCTTCTTCCTCCGCCGTCTTCGATGATCGGAACATCCAGGCGGTTATGGATTTGGCTGTTTATAATTTCAGGAAGGTGATTCCTCTCCCCAACAAGCCGAATCGAACCGGCCAAGCCAGATTCAGAAGAGCCCCTGTTCCCGCTTCTGCTTCTACCTCCGCCGTCGCCGTCGGAGTCATTCCTCGGTCGGAGAAGAAGATCGTTCAGGATCAGCCCGGGCCGTCATCTTACTCTGCTCCGATGATTGTTCCTCCAACGACGAAGCAAAGGTATTGCACTGTTTCCGGTGGCTCGGAGTTCAAGGTGTACTAGCCGACTCCGATTCACCGGTTGCCTCCCATGCCGACCAATCACCATCAGAAAGCGGTCGCGGTGGCAAAGGAGAGGAACGATTTGGTCCCGTCTTCCACCATCATTTTCTCGAATTCGCCTTCCATCTCCGTCGCTGCTACCTCGTTCATTTCTTCCCTGACGGGGGTTACCGACAGTATGCAGAGATCTATGTCGTCTTCAGGGTTTAGTTCACCCAACCTTTCACGGAAGCCTCCCTTGTCTTCTTCCTCCCTCAAGAGGAAGTGCAGCTCCATGGATGACGTCAGATGCGGCTCCTCCTCCAGCCGGTGCCATTGCTCCAAGAAAAGGTTCGCCCTTTTTGCCCCAAACTCCAACAAATCTTGAATTAATTTCATGGGTTTTTCTGGGGTTTTGAACCTGATTCCAATTATTATTTCGCCAAATCCATGAAATCAAGGATGAAAAGAGTGGTGAGAGTTTTAGCAATCAGCAGCAATGGAAGCGGCAACGACGGCGGAGATCATCGAATGGATCTGTTGGGGGTTTCTTTTGGACCATTGGAGGAACTGGGTCTTCTCCATTTAATGAGCGTAGTGTTGAGCAGGATCTATTGCTTTGGTGTCATCGAATGGTAAATTCCAGAGCTGAAAGCTTGAACTTTTAATTTTGTCATTCTATCTTGATTGCTCGACTTTAAATAATGACGTGGAAATGAAGTGCAAATGAGATGGAAACAGATCCTAATTAGTGAACACGATCGTGCTCTGGAGTAGTCTGCCCGTGTTTTTGCCCCAGCTTCACCGAATGACCTCCAAACGCCCCGAAACTCGTGCCTAGCCCTTTTTTCGACGTCTGGGACCTGAAATGTGACAAAGTAGCACACCCCAGCATAAAATAGGCAGAAAACCATAAATTGGAGCCAAAACGGTTGAGAAATAAGTGTGCAAACATGTGCTAATATGGTGCTAACAAATTCCCCCACACTTAACCGTTTGCTTTTCCCCAAGCAAACCAAGTCAGACACAAGGTGCTCTAAACATTTTAACCATGCAAACTCTAGGGACATATCATATCGGCACAAAACACGTGGATCATACTAGCTTTTAGTCATCAACACATGAACAACTTCAACGGCAACCTAGACAACCACCACAGATGACATTCGAGCGAAGCAAAGTCGAGCAAAGGAGGAGTCTCCCTTCTGTTCACCAACTAGCATAGACTTGACTCAACCACTTATCCAAGACAGTCTCCTCATGCATAAAACTCAAGACATCAGAATCAAGACCGAGAAATCTAGTTCCTCACTGGGATAAAGAGTGTAGAGAATATAAGGAAATGAATCGCTCACTCTCGACCAGTGGGGTCGGGACAATTTTATGCGAAAATTGCGCATGCTTATTCTCTCAATCCTAACGTCTCTTCACCATGATTGCAGCCTCTAAATGCTAGAGTTCACATATCAGATGCCACCACTAACTAGTCAGGAGGTCTTAGACACGGGTTCAAATGACTGGCCAGGGTCTTTGACATGGGGAAAAGGCCTTTTAGGTGGTGGAAGAATTCAATACACAAGGTTCCACAGTTCCAAACCCAAACACAACAACATTCATTAAAACAATTGCTTTCTTTCTGCCATTCTGCATTAATCACCTTCTTTAGAGCACAAGAGTGAAGGAGGTCACAATACTGTTAGTATTTCTAAGCCAGACTGCTAAGAAACACTACTTAATGAGCATGATTCACATTTTTAGTAGTTGCTCTCTTTTGCTTTCATCCATCATCATTTTTTTTCTCTTTTTTTTCATTGCTCGAGAGAACCACCACGTCTGCACATTTTTCAAACACATGCCCAACTTTTAAGAACTACCTCCAACCCTCACATTATTTCTAGTAGAAACAACAGAGAACATGCAAAAACCACTATGTTGAACCTCTAAGAGATGCAAAAGGGTGATTTATTTTCATTGTAGACACGAAGAAAGAAAGTTACACGACTCAAAGGGGCTGACTAGGGGGTATGACACACTGGACAGTCAATATGGTCGTGGGCTATTCTATGCCTCCATCATCCTAATTAGTGACAACGTGAATGCTACACATCATGGAAGAGGGATCTATCACACAAGAAAGAAACGAGCAGGCTCAAATCTCGCATGGCTACCTATATGCTCTATCTCTCATTCTGATTCCCTAAACTAGATGCATGAACGACTGTAGAAAATAAGTGATCAATCCAAGTCACAGTTGGTAAGCAAACAGTTGGAAAACTGAACCCCTACACAACTCTATTGCGCGTCTCAATCATCATTATAGGGCATCCTAGGCTCCAAGCACACACATATACGTTCCAAGAAAGACAAAGCACACCCCCCACACTTAAGTTCGACATTGCGCTCAATGGATAAGAGGGAAGGGGAACGATGTTACCGTGAAATGAAGAGTAGGAACGGGGACTAGAAGGCAGACGAGTCAAGAGCAGGGGATTTTGGAAGGGGACCAGTCCAAGGGCACAGAGCTAGAGTCATGAAAACATACACACTGGGTGAAAGAAACCATAGTTTCATGTCTACAATCCAAATAAAAAGAAAGAAAGAAGAAGAAAAACAAACGGCAGGGAGTCTCAGTCTGGAAAGGAAAAGAAGCACATAACCCAACAGCCCCACAACACATCGCCACCATCTCCCCTAGGAAGTGGGTAGTCATCCTCGTGCCCAGGAGACTGCACGAAGGGGGAGTGGACCGAGTTCTGGTCCAGGCCCAGATAATGCATGATGTAGTGCTGGCTGAACATGAGACGGCGGCCGCGTTCCCGCTCACGATCGAGGCGGGTCTGGAGGTGCTCCTGGCCTGCTCGAATTTGCTCACTCTGACGAGCAATGGCCGCTAACTGGTCAGCAACGGAGATCGCGAGGGCGGCAAAAGATCCAGGGGCAGAGTCAGAAGGGCCCGGGGGGCACGGGTGCAGGATGGCGGGGGCTACGTCATCCCCCAGCAGCACTGAACTTCGGCCGGTCAGCCCCGGCTGGAGGAGGCGCAGGTGGCCTAGGGAGACCATTGATTCATGTCAGATGCCCCTCACGCTCGAGCAAATGCTGATGGCAGAGAGTAGCCTCGCCGAGGGGTGTTAGGGAGTGGTTCAGAGTCATGCCAGCAGTGTTGACCCCATAGTAGTGGGCCAAGGCTTTGATCACCGGTCCACAGACAAGAAAGCGATCCTGATTGGAGGAGGCCTTGGTGAATGTGTGAGCGACAACACAACCCAGCTCTATAGTGTCCTCCTCCAGGCCCATCGCATGCATGAAGTACAAAGTCCGGAGGGTGACCCAGTTGGCATAGCCCCGACAGGGAGTGTAGGAATGGGTGAGGAGGTGGTTAAGGATCCGCCAATCCAGACGGAGTAGAGTGGCCCGCGTCTAGCTGGGTATGTACTCCTCATCCACGTTCTCAGTGAGGCAGATGTGCTCGAAATATGCTTGGTCGGCAAAGAAGGTGGGATCGGTCTCTTCCATTACCAGGGGGTGAATGCTGAAGTGAGGGGAGTGGAGGCAAAGTGCAGTGGCCAACTCCCAGTAACTGACGGAGTGCTTGACCTCGCCGAGTGTGAAAAGGACGGTGTCACCATGGTCAGCCGACTTCCTCTAGGAATGGGAAAAGGAAGCGTAGAACTCCCAGACCAGCTCCTGGTAGGTCAGCTCAGCGAGGTAGAGGAGGCGCCGCCAACCATAGGAGCGAACAGCAGCCTCCATATCCTCGCGAGCATGGAGCGCCTCAAACACTCCAAAGTCTAGATGTAGGTGCTCGGAGATATGGAGGGTGCAGATGGTCCGTAGTTGGTGGCGCTGAGTAATGCCCAAGAGGTCCTAGTAGTCCTCCATGATCTTGCAAAGCAACAGAAAGCACAAATGCAACACATAGGAGTGGGTTAATGTTAGGCAAAACCACACCGGAAGCCCTCAAATCGAAAGATTTGGACGGTGGACTAGGCTCCCGGTGGAAAAAACAAGCAAACCATAACCATATAACCATCCAATCGGCCATTCACCAAGCAATCGCCCATCAGGGCACAATTCTACACATGCAATTGGTAGGCTGGCGAAACTAATTAATGGGAACAACATTTCAAGCATATAAACTCCATCGCCCTACCAAGATGATCCAATTTCAAGCCAAAATCTCAAGTTCTTCACCTATAACTCTAGGTATCAATTCTCCAAAATTGACCAAGAGAAAATGAGAAACACACCTGGAGATTCAAGTAGATACCACAAGAAAGGTGAAGAGAAGGAAAATGCACACCAAAATCGTCGGAGAACTCGCCGGAAAGCTCGTCGGAGAACTCGCTGCTGGCAACCAAATCCCCGCCAAATGGGACCAAACTTTTGGGGAATGTTCTCCCCGACGCCACGAGCGTAGTGGTGGTCTTGGTTTTTCCGGCGAGAGGAGAAAGAGTGGATTTGAAAAAGTGACTGCTGGGGAGAGAAAACGGTCAGATTCGACTTTTATACGCGGGGGGGGGGGGGGGCAAAACACGGGCGGACCCAGAACACGGCCGTGTTCCTGGTGCTCCGCGCCCTTGTTTTTTTAGGCTGAGACGCGTTTCTCCCTTTTAGCAAAACACGGGCAGACAGGGGTCAAAACACGGTCGTGTTTTCAACCCCTAGCGCTTGTGTTTTTTAGTGTGAGGCTCTGCAGGTGAATGCAAAACACAGGCGGATAGGGGAAAAAACACGGCTGTGTTTTCAACGCGAAGCGCCCGTGTTTTTACTGCCGAGCCTACCTCTCCACAAACCCAAAACCACGATTTCAAACAACCAAACCTCATTCGTGCCCCGGCTCGAAAAATACACAGCCACAGATGCAAACACAACGCCCTGGGCACGAGATACTTTTCAGACAGACTCCAGACAGACTCAATGACTCAAAAACCGACAAAATCTAAAAGGTAAAAGGGAAAGAAATGCAAATCGTGGTGGGGTTGCCTCCCCACAAGCGCTTCTTTACTGTCTTTTAGCTGG